TCGTCCACTATTTCCATCTCGACACTGATTCCAATGCGAACTCCCTCATCGGTGCTGTCAATGGTCTCTTTCAAGCTGGCGGACTTTTCGGCTCGCTTTCGAGTCAATATATTCCCGACAAATGGGGCCGGAAGGCCGCCTTGTACATAGGGGCCATCATATGCGTGGTTGGTGGTACTCTACAAACAGGTAGCGTCCACATTGCCATGTTTCTAGTGGCAAGGTTGATTACTGGGTTCGGCATTGGTATAGATCCATCTTCTTGAAGCGCCACTTCTCAACTAAACTCTTTTCGCACCCAGGTGCTTTGGTTGGTCTGGTTCCCCTCTATCAGAGCGAAGTTTCTCCCACGCATCTCCGGGGCTTCCTGGTCGGATTGCATGGAGTCATGATCTGTATTGGGTATACCTCTGCCAGTTGGATCGGTGTCGGTTTCTACTTCGTGCAAGGAAACCTCAGCCAATGGAGAGGGCCGCTGGGCTTCCCGATCCTTTTCCCCCTGGTTTTGCTCTGCGCCTTGCCTTTCGTTCCTGAGTCACCTCGGTGGCGTAAGTTGCCCTCGGTGGATAAAATAGCATTACATGGCTAACAATTAGATATAGTTCTTACCCGTTCTCGGAAAGATGCTGCTCTCAAAGCCTTCAGAAAAGTCCATGACAGTGGAGTCAAGGTTATGAACGCGGAGCATGAGGTTGCGGTACAGGAGGAGTTCCGTCTTCTTGCTGCACAAACAGCGCAAGAGATGAAGAACCATGTTCCTTTGAAGGACTTTTTCCTTGTGCCCAGCTCGCGGAAGAGATGCCTAGTTGGTTTCGCAACCATGTTTGCAGCTCAAGGGACTTTCACACTGGTCATCAACAGTGAGTGCGCACCTGCAGCGCATTAATTTGAGGTACTCTCTGAAGCTGATCATACATACCCGCAGATTATGGACCGATCCTTCATGCCGGACTGGAGTTTGATACCGTCAAATAACTCTTGATTCAAGCCGGATGGATTTCCGTCTGTCCTGGTGGTAATCTGATCAACGCCTTCATTGTTGACAGGTTTGGCCGAGTTAATCTCCTGAGTAAGGATTTTCTGCTACATCCCTTCAACATGACGAAGACTATGGCTAACCGCTTCCAGTATTCGGTTTTGTGGGCACCGTTACCGCCCTCGTTGGTGCGTGCGGCACTGTTGTGTCCTACAACAAGACAGGCAGTCGCAGCACGGCAGCAGCAGCCGTGTTCTTCCTTTTCTGGCATATCACAATGTTCTGTGTATCGGTAGACGCTACCACGTACATCTATGCTAGCGAGATCTTCCCCACTCCCCTACGGGCCAGAGGCATCGGCATTTCCATCACTGGCCTCTTTGTCGCGACCATTATCTTCCTTCAAGTCGCACCCACTGCCTTCGCGGCAATCATTGGGTATTACTACCTCGTGGGCGCGGGCGTCACCATTTTTTTTGCCATCTTGGCGTACTTTTATTTCCCAGAGGTAAGCCTGCCGACTTGTCTTCCGACTTTTGGCGCTGTCCGGCGACTAATGTACTGTGCAGACCAAGAATCTGTCGTTGGAAGACGTTGCCGAGGTCTTTGGAGACAACATTACCTTGGAAGATCCGGAGGAAGAGGCCATCCATCGACGCTTCAGAGAAGGACACTATCGCGAAACTGCCATCGCCCCCCAAGGAAGGAGGTGGCCATGTATCTAAGTGACATCCATGGCAGATAAAGGCATCATCACCCTAACAGTAGTACCGGCGGTTTATAATCTCAGGGACAGGGGGATCTTGGCTTCCACATGTTTACGAAGTGGTGGCACTACCTGAAGGGGCTAGAGCAATTACAAGCCGCTGGGTTTACAAGCGTAAGCTTGATCACCATGGAAAGATCAAGACATACAAGGCGCGTTTGGTGGCGAGGGGTTTTCAGCAGCAGGAAGGTATTGACTATACCGAGACCTTCGCCGCTGTGGTCAAGCCGTCCTCGTATCGAATTTTCTTTGCACTGGCTGCTGAATTTGGCTACATCATACATCAAATGGATGTCAAGACTCCGTTCTTGAACGGAACCCTGCAGTATGTGGTGTACATGAAACCTCCGCCTGGGATGAAGGTTTCTCGTGGGCATGTCCTAAAGCTACTGAGATCACTATATGGATTGAACCAGGCGCCACGGGCTTGGTATGACAAGTTCAGACTTACAATGCAAGGCAAGGGCTGGCGTGTCTCTTCATATGACCCGTGTGTATTTGTTCACGACAGCAAAGAACTGCTGTTTTGTTTGTGGGTCGACGATATCCTCATCGCAGGAAAGAACGAAGAGCAGATCCGCGACTGTAAGAAACAACTGGCCGAGGAGTTCGAGATGACTGACGAGGGTCTCTGCTCGTACTATCTGGGTATGCATGTTGAGCAGACCGAGAGCTCGATCGCCGTTCATCAAGCACAATACGTCAACCAAATGCTTCGTCGGTATGACCTTCAGAACATCACACCAGCCAAGACACCACTTCGAAAAGATGTCAAATTACGAAAAGAGACAGAAGTGATTGCAGATCCGGTGTTCAAGACTGAGTACCAGAGCAAGGTCGGATCGCTCAATTTCTTGAGTAATGGGACAAGACCAGATATCTCCTTTGCCGTGGGATATGTTGCACGCTTCGCATCCAACCCGAATCAGGAACACCTAGACGCGGTGCACCATATCTTTGCCTACGTCGCCGGCACTAGGAAGTTGGGACTAAACTTTCGAAAGCAGAGTCCACAGGACGACGTGAAGAACCTTGTCAAACGGTTCGTGGACAGCGACTTTGCGAACTGCGAGGACTCGAGGAGGTCCACAACTGGATTCGTGTTTGTCATGTCAGGAGCACCGATTTCGTGGTCTTCGAAGAGACAGGCGACCGTTGCTCAGTCTACTATGGAGGCCGAATACTTTGCGGCAAGTGAAGCTGCCCGCGATGCAGTGTGGACGCGGAACTTCATGAACGACTTGAAGCTACCAGGGATTTCGATCAATGCGGTTCCTTTGTACATCGACAACAACTGCGCCCTCAAACTAAGCCGAAATCCGGAGTTCCATGCAAGAGCGAAACATATTGAGGCAAAACACCACTACATCAGAGAGAAGACGATGGAAACAAAGGAGATCGACACAATGCGTGTTGACACGAAAGAATTTGGCAGACATTCTGACGAAGTCACTCAGTCCTGTCGTGCATATTGGCCTTCGTGAGAGAATGGGAATTGCTTGAAGTGTACGATAATCAGGGGGAGCTCGCATCATGTTGCTGGAAAACGTGTCTAAAGGTGCCACGAATTCTTCGAATCCGTGGCACAGGGGGAGAGTTGTTTTCCAGAGTCACGTGGTGCAGTGATATTACATATCACTGTTATTGCTGTCACTGCCTCAAAGGCAGTGATACTGAGTGAAGGTCCTAGGGTGTTGTGGTGATAAAGCCCTGCACCTCTCTTTCATAGTTTCATAGACAAAAAGACATCAACATACAAGTTTCAGCTATCAGTTTCAACTGATTGCAGATGGATGTCACCTGCGCTTTGCAACGACCCGTACATCAGTTTTCTTTTCGTCCATTGACGGAACTGAAGGAAGGCAATTGCATCATGACAGAGGTGCGGAGCTGTTATGGAATGCGCCTACAGACGTTTATTTCTCCGCGGCATAAGCACTTCGTGTTTGGTGCCGTGGAAAAGGTCGCTCCAGTTGGATAACCGGCTCGCTGGAAGAGAAAGTCAGCGGGGCTCATAGTATACGCGGAGTTCTCTTCGTAACTCTATGCGGCGGAAGTAGAAAGTGGTCTAGCAATAGTGGAGAGTCACTACGTAATTAAGCATGAGCCACCTTCTAAAAACTGTTTGTTTCGTTCCCGCCTTGAATGCCAACCTTTGTCATTGCACAAAAGATGAGCTAGTCTATCGCCTGCCTCTTGCCAACTTAACGTGCCCTTTCACGCAAGTCTCACACAAGTATAGCCATGCGAACGAGAGTAATCTCGAACAAAACACATCGGGCACTTAGTAACACCAATGGCTGACTGTTGTGGTCAATATCGTCCAGTGGACTATGACAAGATCGCAAACCCAAGCTGTGAAGCTTACCTGCTGATTGCTGGCGGGATCGAATGACAGGTTTGAAAGCACAATGCCTCGCTCAGGTCCGTCCATGGGACCTCCCAGAGCTTGAAAGCATCCGAAGCAGGCACCCGCCAACCTTCAACTGCTGGAACTCAGAAGCAGCAAGACGAACCCTGGGCCACAATGACTTCAATCTCATTTCGTCGCCATTCTCTACACATCCACCCCTGAAGATGCTTAGTATTCCGGTGCGTGAACTTCGGCGCGGCCCCAACTCCGCTGGCTCACGGCAGAAACGGTACGTCAGTAATAGGTGGGAAAAGAACCCTTCATCTCTGTCTGTACGATTAAAGTTTCAAAATGGATTCCGCGGGTTGTGGAAGCAGGAAGGACGTGGGTGAGCCAACTGGCTCGATGCTGAGAGATATTCGAGTGATTGCTTGACGGGCCTGTTTGTCCCGTGTAAACATTCTTCCAACTCCACCAAGAAGTTTTGCCGACGATCCGGCATGCAAACAGCAATGGCGTCATATAAACCTTGTATGATTGACCCTAGCCACTTTTGGGTCCTTTAGGGGGACCATCTGCCGGGGAAGTCTGGAGAACGTCACCAGCTCGACAAGAACTCAATTTCAACATGAGACTTTGTTACCCATTCTATCGGCGTCATTAATTCTACGGCAATTATCGCCCGGTAACGCCTTTCGCGACTCTCGAGATCGCGCTTTCGAGCAAGACGACGATAAAGACTTTGAGGTTCATAATTGCCAGCCGCAGCCTTTGCGGAGCCGAGATCAACTTAAAGCGATGGGCTGGGTAGGAATGATCATTTATGAATCAACTTGAAGGACGTGAGCAGCCACGCGTGAAACAACCGGGGCTCTTACAGTCCAGCAACCACCTCTTCGGTCAATATGGCGCAAGACAAACTGCTATGGTCGTTTGTCTCTGGTCTCCTGGTCTGGAGATTGAAAGTCGTTTCCGGTTTCCCTCACGATGCTTACCAGCCATACATGTCGAGAGCATCAGTGCCAGCGTACATTATCGACGAGATCCCCTTAGTCGAGAGCCATGGACTTCACATCTCCCAGGATCAAGAGTCTTGCAAACTCGCATCCACCTCCCGGCATCTCAACGAAGGGTTCGGCTCTGACCCAACGTCCTTCTACGTACCGAGTTCAGGAGTTCTGCAAGCACGTATGATTTTTATAGATTTCGAAGATGCTCCTGCCAGTGAGAACCCGGTGGACCTGTTCGATCTGTTCATGCCGGCGGCGAGCGAATGGTACGGGAATGCATCTTTCGGGAGATTGAACCTGCGTGTGGCGGCCGACCTATCAGGGTTCTATCGCATGCCTTGCAATGCGTCCACATACGTTTATCATCGCGGGATGAGCTACGAGGCCCATCACAAGTATATACAAGACGCTCTGGACGCCGTCGGCAAAAGTGTCATGTTTGCTGGAACGGATCTACTGTACATCGTGCCTACCGAAGAAGCAGCTGCGATGTCCTATTCGCCAACCTTCATGCCACCAATTGAAGCACACGATGGTACTCTAATCAAGAAGACTGTCACGTTCGGACAAGATGCTCATTTTATAGGCTTCAAGGAGATGAATCACGAGACTGGACACACAATGGGCTTGCCTGACTTGTACTCGTACGAACCATACACTCGGGCGGGAATCTTCGTGGGAGGCTATGATTTGATGGCACAGATCGAGGGAATTTCGCCAGATTTCCTCGCTTGGCACAAATGGCGCTTGGGGTGGATTGACGATGATCAGATTTTCTGTCTTTGTCCGGATGCAGAGAAATCAAAGGCAGGGAATGAACGGACAATCGTCCTCACTCCTGTCGAGGAGCCCCAAGGCTTGAAAGCTCTGGTCGTCAGACATAATGTAACAGTAGCTCTTGTGGCTGAGAACCGGTCGGGCAGACATTTGGACACCGACACTTGTGGGTCAGGAGTGTTGATATATAGAATCGACACGATGACGGACAGTGGTCATGGGCCGATCAAGGTACAAGATTCGTCGCCGGACTCGGGTGGATGCGCTGGAGACGAGCTCAACGATGCACTCTTCGTGCCAGGACACAAGAGTCGGAGCTCTTTCACCTCTTCAGAACTCGGTGTCAGCATTGAAGTACTCGAAGAGATCGAGGAAGGCTTCGTTGTCAGCGTCAGCCTCCTCTGAGGCCATGGATGCCTGCCTTCCTGGCTAAGTTCTTGCCTAGGCACTTATTGGGGTATCTTGCAGCATTGTACTATCCGGCGTGATACAGTATATCACAGGACCAAGCTATAATATTCGAGCGGTATAGGTCACATTTTCGCAAGTCATCTCGGAAATCGTCACCCACGTTGCGAATGAAGCACGCTTGAATAGGAAAGACGCCAGAGTAGCGAGTGAACAGAAGTGGGTGGCCGCGGCACTAACTTGCATCCTTGGAAAAGGGCGCAAATCACGTGCTACGAGAAGGCACTGCTTGGCGATCCGCTGACTCGTCAGGCTCACCGTTTCGCTGGTCTCCTCGCTGTTCGCGCACAGGAAACTACCATCACCATTAGGCATTTACCATCAGGTCCGAGTGGTTCACCCACACTTTATAATTTGCATCTTCTGCGCTTCTCAACAATGTGTCTTTTGGAAGCTTCCTCTTTGGCACCACCTCTTTCAGCACCTCTTCGAGGGGATACTAGTACTAAGTGCTGTCTTGGGCTTTACGCTTGAGCGCATGGGGGGCGCGGCGGATTGCAATGATTCCAGTTTCTCGATTGAGGACGACAGTATGTACGGTTACTACTTACATAGTACTCGTACATTAGTACTTACTCCTAATGTCATGACTGCTTTTCCTATCTAGACACCCTTACAACCCGGAAAATGCCCTTGATACCCCGCATTTTTTCCCCAGTATGCGTTCATGAAGTCGGTACTCTTGCATCATGACCCCATGAGATGGGGCGGTGGTTTCTCGTGTCATCATCACCCAGCGTCACATCATGACATCAGGTCAAGGAGGGGGAGGATACAGTGGAAACGGAGGACGTTGGGATGTCCATAAGTAGAGGAGTTCGAACAGTCAAGCTTTCTTTCTCCCTCATTAATCCTACTAAGTAGTACTGCGACGACAGAGAAGTTTTGACAGAATCGCGGATCATCTTGACCCTAAGAAAACAAACTCGAAGCTAGTAAGTGCGGGTGGTCCCGGGTGGCTGAAGACACGGCTTTTCTACGTATTGAGCACTAGTAGGCTAATCCTGTTCTGCTGCCACAGTACAACTCTTTAGAAATGTCTTCATCAGGTGGCAGCGCACCAGGCGAGTTCGCCCACGGCAAAGTCGATCCCAGCGAGGCCGGGAAGAAGGGTGGCTTGTCCAGTGGAGGCGGAACCAACACTGATTCCAGTTCCACCGGTGGCACGAGCGGTGACAGCTCAGGTAGCGGAAACAGCGGAGGAAACCAAAAGGGAGAATTTGCTCATGGTAAGGTCGATCCATCTGAGGCTGGGAAGAAGGGAGGGAGCTCGTGAGAAGTTCCTTACACCCTGTAATGTACATACTAGTAGTAGTACATTCAGGATAGGTTGATGTCGATTCAACAACTAAAATTGATTCGGAAATGAAGCTTTAAGCACCGCTAAGTTGATATCGATCTATTCAGTACTAAGTAGTACACTCACTCACTACCCATCGCTCGACTCTCAATCTAATAATCGGCCTGCGAGGGATAAATGCTATATATATCGAGTCTAAATATCTGGGAATTTAAATCAAATCGAAATCCGCGTTGAACCTATGTTGCATATGATTATGGAAGCTGTGCGCCTAAGCAAAGAATCGTACCTGGAGATTGACCCATTCTGGAACCAATAGAACGAGAGCAGACCTATCGCCTGCACACCTTCACCATTTGGATGGTCGAACAAGACCCTATGGTCGAGACCCAAAGCTCGGGCTCGAGCATAGTACACCAAATGGCTCTTGGCGTGCAAGTCCTGGTCATCGAGCTTAGCCACGTGCGACCATTTTGAGCCAATAGCCCACACCAGGTTTGCGAGAGCCAACCACCTACGCTGATCCCATGAAAGAAGAATTCCTTGAGCTGGAAATTGGGCCAAATCCTGCAAAAACTGCTCCCTGGTAATGAAGCCGAATACACCCTGGAGGGCATGAAAGTAGGCCTCCGACAGGATTTGAGCGGCCGAATCGACAGGTCTTTGGACCGCGCCGAGGTAGTCTTCGTCGACACTCAACAGAGGCTCTCCTCGTCCATGTAGTAAGTGGACATTGTTGCAACCGAAACCCCCTCTTGCAAACGCGTCTCGGGCTCCATGGGATTTCACCAGTAGTGATGGGCTCGCTCGATCCAAGAAATTTCCGAGATCTTTCCTAGGAATCCCGCAGCTCCAGCACATTCGGGTCGCCAGGGAACCCCACGCTACGGGCAATATCGTTCTCGCCATGCTGGATCTGCTCAGTGTTGGGGCGGAGGGACAGAGCGTCTTCAGTCTGAGAGCTGGAGAGAACAGGGGATGCAGCTCGGTCATCAGGCTCGTGCTGGAAGCATACGGATCAGTAGAGCTCTGGAGAAGGAGAGGTTTTACTAACCTTGGCTACCAACTCTCTGACAGACTCATTCGGATCCAAGCTGGAAGTCGCAGCAGCTTTCTTCAATGCCTGCAGTAGCGCATTGCTTCGGGGCTTCCAAGACCTTTATACGCTGTCTACTCTGGTCGGGCTCTTTGTTTGAAAGATCAGTGACTCATTCATTTATCGAAATGAAAGTGGACTAAACTTCTTGTTCCTTTCCCCCTTTCTGGTCGCTGGATATGCAAACTACTCCATCCTTGACACACTTCCCACAAGAATCCCCCCGGTTCATTTTATACGTAACACGCGACACCGATCGCACCCATGGGAGGTTCTAACCTTACCTCTAGAGATAAACGAAGGAGCGGGAGAGGTTAGAGCGTTGGCTGCTTGATGCTGGGTTATGGGTCTGAAATGCGGAAGAGAACTGGCGTTCAAAGGGTTGAATGAAGAAGCCATTGCGTTGTATCAGCAGCTCCTTCTCCTCGTGTTATGGCTGCAACCGTGGCCGGGTCGCCGGGAAATGATCAATGAAATGATCATACGCGAACTGATCAGTAGGTTTGGGAGGGTCGTGCGCAAGAGGTCGGATGCTACACAGTCAGCTTTGTTCCACCCTGTGTGGAGTGGAAACCAAACGACTTATGAAAAAGGGTGAGACGCTACGAATCTGCCGCTTGAGGGGCGCTCTTAAGTCGGAGGCAGTGATCGCTTGGTTGAAGGCGGATGACGGAGTCAACAAGCTGATTTTCACTGAGTAGGTGGAGTGAAATCGCATGTGAAACGGAGATAGGGGGCGACTAGACCGCGTAATCGTCAACCAAACAAAAAAGAAGGAAAAAGACTGCAGGATGTTGGGGGATTTGCTTTCCACCAAACATGAGCTACATTCAGGTACAGATCTTGGTTAGACCCACACTAGGGTTGGTGCCTCGGCCTTCATTGCGAGTCTTGCGAGGGTCGACTGCTGGTGAAAACATACCCGCAACGTTTATGACATGGGGGGTCTTTTATCTACGTCCGGTCTATGATTGTGCACTAGCGCACGGCGGCGAGTGATATCCTGGATCCATATGGGGCGCCGGGAGACCAGCCGTGTGACAGGCCTAGTAGGAGCCGTGACGTATCTCTGATCTTACATTTACTCTAAGTAAATCAGAATTCGGAACTCTGGTTGCCGTTTAGGGTAAATTGGCCAAGTTCGTCGACCAACATCAGCTGGATTTCCGGCAGTTAGCCTAGCCATCTTTGGCTTTAACGGACACAATGATATCCAATTCTAGAGATTGCCGCGAGGGTATATATGTAGCACAATTCTCTGGCAGATAGGATGAGGCTCTCCGTGGGATATTTATGGTGACAACCCAACATCGTCCGCGCAGCAAGGCAACCCTCCACGACCGATACGTTCATCTACTTGTCCGAGGGCTAATTCTAAAAAGCTGTCCGGTTCTAGATTGAGATCAGGGATTGATCACGACAAGCTAGGCCAGACAATTTGCTTGCGGAAATACTGTTCCAGGGTCTCCACAGGGCCGCCATCAAGCGCCTCGCCTTGCTTACGAAGCAGCCCCAGTCTCTCTTCATTCTGTCGATCTAGGCTAAGGAGGACCTCGCACCGCTTTCATGTCGTCTCTATCCGTTGCTGTAATTGGAGTCATCATTGCCCCGGCCTCCTGAAGGGTCTCCATTTTAGACGCCTTTTCTTCTGGCCACGCCCACTCTTGCCTCGCGCACTTACGGTGTTGCCTCTTGTCCTTCGTCACTTTATTTATGATGTGTCTGTACTAGCTTCCAGGTCGTCTACCCAATCATAAATCTTCTCTTTGAGTGACCTTAGGAAGAGTGTTTACGGGCCAAGTAGATGTGCAACCTATTACTAGACCGATACCCTGGTCGAGCGTGAGCCGTACCCTCACGTGACTTGCATCTTCAGAAATGGTGCATATCTCGTGGAACTGCTTGCTGATTTTTGCTGATTCCAGCAAGAAGCCGCGTCCCATCTTGAAATGGCAGAGGATGTTGTTAAAAAACTTGCTCTGTGGAAGACATTGTCATCTGTCGTCTGCAGCTGCTGCCGGAGCGGGGTCCCCATGAGAGTCTGTCTACCATCATCCCTTTTGCGGAATGGTCCGGGACACCAACTTTGACATCTACTTCCTAACGGCACTGTAGTATACCGATGGGCACGAGCGAACGGACTGTAAACCGCGGAGATTCACTGTACCACTTGGATGCCATCTCGCGCATTGATTGAATGCGTCCGACCTGACAAGGGTAGGAAATGTGCCGCGAAAGAAGTTGGATTTCTCAATGCTCAACCCTATAGAAGACTGTGTTGATGACAACGGACTTCCCACGAATAGCTTCTATTGGAACATGTCGTTCTTGCCCTAAGAATGTTTCACCTGTGTCGCTCGAAATTCCTGCTTCTCGCTCAACTCGTATCACCTGCACTGAGGTAAGTGAACGCGGGGCCGTCTATCTTCTCTTGGATTAAAGTCAACTGTAACAGATCGAAGCACAATTGCCAGTGTACGCCTCCAGCATCTCCTTAGCCCATTGACACCGCCGACATTCCTCAAGCTGGCTCAATAGCTCTATCATAAACGCATCTTCAAAAGGATCTAACTGCATAAGATATACATCCATTCGGTCCCGCTTCAGACATTCTTGGTAGATGGATTGGTCAAACTCAAACTGAGAGCTCGTGAAAGAAGGATGTATAAGCCGTCCTTGCGTGCGTACAGTATTGCCCTTCACTCCACCACCCGGCCGTAAGGGACATTTGGCTGACAGATCTTCGACGAGTTGTGGCTTGCCAGATGGAAGTAAATCAGGGTCTTCGACTAAATTTAGTCAGGTTGGGAGCTTGCAACGGATTTGTACGTTTACCAGAAGTTTCCCAACTCCCTCTGATATAGTCCAGTTTCAATGATAGCTCCATAGCCGTTGGAACCCCTTGTAGATTGTTCTTCTTCATCATAAATCCCTCATGATGCTCTTGTGTGTTGTTGGTTTGGTTCACGCACAGGCAGCTCCGGCAATCGGAAGATATATTTTAACTTAGGTGTGCTAGTGTTGGATGAAGTCTATGATTCTGCTCGAGGAAGAGACTTGAGTAGATAGAGAGAGATAGAGTCTCTCTGGTTTTCCAGGCTTTAAAACCAATCATTACCTAATCTAAGAATAGAGTTATCAAGGGTTTTGCCTGGCTATTCGAGTCCGATCTCTGGAAATGTTGTGGTGGAGTACCCAACCTCGATGCGAGACTCCGACAAAGTAAGCAGGTAACGGCAGTCTTTCATACTTACATACAGCTCTAGTCCTACGTATCGAGCCAGGGCGTCCAACTCGCCTTTTATTGGGACGAATAGAATTTGATGCTGGACAACGTCTTGAGAAGAAGGAATCCATCCCACGGCATCCCGCAACCACAAGCATCATTTCATCAGAAATATGTTGGTCGGCGATTGGCTCATTGAAACACGATTCGTACAGAGCGCTGGCTAGCAAAGTCGATAGCCTTCACAGGGTCAATCTGAAATCAGACCATATTCCCACCTCACCCTCTCGGCAACCTGGTCGGGACAAGCCATAGGATTGGCCGGTTTGTGGACCTGGCCTGTCAGAGCTCGAGTGTGAAATCTCTCTTGAGAGGTGGTCGACGTATTCGAATTTCCACTGTGCTCAAGTGTCAGGGAGCCTTGGCAATGCTATTCCGGCAGACCTCGAGAACTAGTGATTGTTGAACAGTAGTGCAGCGCCTCGAAAAGAAAACATCCTCGGTTGGCTCTAACCTCACCCACAGCAATCTGACAAGGATGTGCTGTAAGACTCTTGATATGTCCGATGCCATCGGCTGAAGGCTGGCTGGCTGTGCTAAATTTGGTCAAGTGGAGTGCGCAAATATCTAGGAAAGCTGGCGGCTTCATATTCCGACAATGAAAATTACTCTGTATGTAGAGACATCCTTGATGCATGAAACAGGCTAGGCACACATCACCTCACTGTCATCCTCCCGATTTCTTAGGTGTGGTCGCTCTAACGCTCACCGCTAGGTCGAAGGAGAAGGCGTAGTGGGTGGTGACGCCTTCGTTGCCGCCGCTGTTTTTGGTGAGGCCGGTTGTAATGTTCGCCATGAGGGATCCTTTCGAATGGTGCAGGGTGGGGAGGATTTAGGAGACACGGGTTCGCGTTGAAGTACTGAGCGCCTGTCAGAACGTAATTGTTCTTTGATGTTGATGCGATAACTTCTAGCCCTGCTACAGAAATGCTCTCCTTAAGAATCTGGAGGATGATTCCAGGTTCTTCGCCCTCATCTTAATACCTCCTGGGGCCGTATTTGGGTGTGATCACGTAAAAAGGAAACTGGGCAAAATTAGCCGGTGGAGCTAATCAGTCGAGAAGTCTCCGTGCTCGTATTCATTGAGTATTCCCACTTTCAGCTGACCTGGCTTCACATGTTGGCTAAGAAAGTTCCCCGCATCCTCTCGGCCGACTTCGTTCAACAAAAACAGTTATATAGTGTTTACAGATTTTGCCGTCTCTTAATGTACCTGTAGCTTTGTTTTGCTCCAGAAATAGCTCCGAAATAAAAGCTGCTTTCACAACGTGAAATGGCTAAACTAGTAGGGCCTAGCTGTCTAAATGAGAGCAGTTTCATGGTTGGGGAACATGGAAGCCTTGAAACAGTGCTGTTCGCCAACGAACAGCTCCATCACCTCTTTCGCGACGACAGCAAGTGGAATCTTGGACAAACCCTTCCATCACCAGCCACAGGCCCAGCATCGATGATCCAGTCCGACTTCGGCAGCGGGAACCACAAGAATTTCGAGGTTGTCGCTCTCGAAGGTAGGAATCTGGTGCATTGGTGGCACGACAACTCGAATGTTAGCCTCCCTTGGCAGCGCGGTCAAGTGATCAGCACGAACGCGAGTGGCGCTGGTGGCATCATTCAGTCAGACTTTGGGGTGGTTCGCACAAAAACTTCGAAGTGGTGGTGCTTGAGGGCAACAACCTTGTCCATTATTGGCACGACAATTCCGACGTAGGCAATCACTGGCAGCGAGGTCAAACGATCAGCCCATTCGCGACTGGGCCTGGGTGCATTATCCAGTCAAATTTTCACAGCAGGAAGCACGGAAACTTTGAGGTGGTTGTTCCAGAGGGGAGAAATCTCGCGCATTGGTGGCATGATAATGCGGATGTCAGCCTGCCTTGGGAACGAGGGCAGATAATCTCGACCGATGCCAGTGGACCAGGTTGCATTATACAATCGAAGTTCGGTAGGCCCAACGGAAATTTTGAGGTCGTGGTGCCCGAGGGCAACAATCTTGCGCATTGGTGGCACGACAACTCCAACGTCGCCTCCCCCTGACAGCGCGGCCAAGTCATCAGTGTCGCGTCAACCGGGCCGGGATGTCCCATCCAAAGTTCATATGGGCCGGGAGGACCTGGAAACTTCGAGGTGCTCTCTCAAGAGCTTACCCGCTCCGTGGTCCACTATTGGCACCACAATACTGACGCCTCTCTACCCTGGTGGCGACCTAGTATCTTGCCAAACTTCGCCGAGTTCGGTATCGACTCTCCTGATATCCATCAGACGGTGAAGATTGCCCAGCTGACCGGTGAAATCGACCGTCAAACCAGGATGTCGACCATGAGTCAGACGCAGAGTCGTTTTGGCATTGTTGGCTGTGATCTCGGCCAGTCCTTCGAACATCAAGAACGTGTGTGCTTTCTTTTCGGAGGCACCACCACCGACCACAACATTAGGCGAGATTCATCGGCTGATTTAGACAGTATTGGCTTCACCAGCGACATCGATGCCAGCAAATGCATCCGAGTCGATTTCAACCGTTCATATCCCCGCGTCAACGGCATCGACCAACGCGGCTTTTGTATTCCACCGGCAGGCATAAGCATGGGCCCGATGCAAATGTATGTGTTCTTTACCACCGACCACAGGGGAGATGGATCATTTGGCGACACGATGGGCAGGAGTGTGTTGGCTCGATCGAGCGATGGCGGGTTGACTTTCGGCTCCCCGCTCTATGACCTCTCTCTCGACAAGTTCATCAATATGTCCTTGCAACTCGTTAATCACGATTCATATCCAGGCCTGCCCGGGCCCCAAGGGAAAGGCATTTTGATGTGGGGAAGCGGTAGTTATCGGCGCAGCAATGTATATCTGGCCTACGTGCCAGCGGATCAGATCGAAGATCGCTCCGCGTTTTCGTTCTTTGCGGGTGGCGGTCCCGCTCAGCCCTTGTAGTCAGCAAAAGAGTCAGATGCCGTGCCAGTGATTTTATCAGGCTCAGTCGGTGAGCTTTGCGTGCGTTGGAATGCGGTCATCCGACGCTTCGTCCTCCTCTACAACGCTGACAATCCAGTGGGAATCCTTGAACGTCAGGCTGTGCTACCCTGGGGTCCTTGGACTGGGCCGCAGAATATATTCGACCTGGGAAATGCATTTGGCCAATACATCCACATAGCGGATGGGAGCGATGGCTTGAGTGACCCTGGTAAAGAGGCGCAGGGCAGGGGTTTCTATGGCCCGTATATGATCGACCGGTATACGAAGCCCAATTCAGATGGCTCTAGTAGAGTCTTCTTCGTCCTTTCTGTCTGGAATCCTTACAACACAATGCTCATGTCGACGACCATTCGTGCAAGGTAGCGCAGATATCATTCTCTTGGTGGCTTGAGGGACGCGTTAACACTCAAAGGTTTCTTGACAAGGAGATTCTGACCTACCCATTTCCGGTACCTCGGTTATTATGCAGTAAATCTCTGCTATTGTCGATCGCTGAGCCGCAAGTTAGAACTAGAGTGAGGTTCAACAGGACCGGTATAGACAAAAGGGTAACTGAAGTGCCAGACCGTCAGCTGAGGCCAAGGTCGGCGGTTACTGCCTTGGCATCTGCAAGCTTCGCTTGAGGTCCATTGTCAATTTGCTTCAAATGCTTGTCTTCCGGCGAGGAGATCCGTTCTTGCTACCACTGCTCTTGGACCATCTGGTGAGCTGCCTCCCTATATGACGATTCAAACGGCGGAAGTCGTGGTCGTATATCATGGTAATCGCCTTCATTATCTCCCACTCTGAGTACTGAAATATTGATTGCCACGTCGCTCGCCACACTGTTCGGAGATACGCTTGGGCGAGGAAATCCTTCCAGTGCGACGCTTTAGCTTTCCCTTACCATGCGAGTCCACGCTGGCCGTGCTGGATGCGCATCTCACAGAACCGTGCATGTGTCCTAGGGTGATTCCCGAAAACGTCCATCCCTTCGAGATACATATGCGAGTTTTCCTCTCCCAGGGAAAGTTAAAGTGGATTGTGCCTGAGGATTACCCAATCATGAATGACTGTCTTACATGGGCATTGCGTTGGCAGGAAGTTATTGTGGACATACTGCTATTTTCCATAAATGCAGGTAATAAGTTGTTCCATGGCTCGTCTTGTGCTCATTCTGCCGTGCAGATAATACTCAAAGCCTAAGACTCTGATGTCCAATCACCTCGCAAAGGGTAGCTTAACCAATGCTTCTATGGTGAGGTCACTCGTTTCGTGTACCTTGGGCGTGGATTCGCTCTGATCGTGCTGCATGCACATATTTCAAAAAAAAATTCATATCATACTTTAAGTCAACTGCTCTTCCCAGGACATAAATCGTAGTCATGACCCAAATCTAACAAAATCATGCTGTCGCAGAGGAGAAACCGGGCTCGCTAATCGAGGGCAAGACTTCAGAAACGAAAATACTTGAATCGAAGGGAGACCTATTACACGTTGTGGGGCAACAGGAAAATTGGGTATCTGAGCATCACTTCTCCCTGCGTGAATCCTCGAAGAAGAGCTCAAGTCGCTCTACGAAGTATTCGAAGCTTGCGAACAGTGCTTTGGTTTCTTTCTTCTTTTCCTTCTGCTCTTCATTGAGGAAGTCTTGCGTCTCGGGTAGAAAGCAAACGAATGCTCTACCCCGGAGGTGGTGGATAGCATAGACCACCTTTGCCATTCGTCGCCGTACTCTGCAGCGTGGAGGTAGTGCAGTTTACATTGTGTAATGAATAGCCTTGGTAAAGATCTGGAGTTGACATGTCGACAAGATGTATTCGCTGTTTGAAGCAGTACAAAGAGGTCACTGCCTACAAATAGACATTTGTTGCAGGAGAAAGATCGCGGGGTAAACGCACGCATCTACCGGAAAAACGATGGTCCGCCTAGACTCACCGCCCCAGTCTCAGATAAGCCCGAGGTTCTTGAGGCTGCTATTTTCCGGTCTGAGGTCTTTCGCAGCACCGTATGGAACCATTAATGATCATCCCTGCATCACTTCCAAGATGATCGAAATCCAGGCGACACTACCGAACGAAGTTTTAGAACAAGTACGGGGAGACGATATCCTCTGCCTTGTTGGGGAGAACCATTTTCCGATGCCCCATTCTGGATAAAGGTACCATTTCCGAAGGCCTGTTCTGGAATTTATCCACGGGGAAGTGCGAACTATAACAATGAATACACTCGCTGGGTCGCACCATACTCACAAGTAACCACGCGGCTAAGCCTTACACGCAATCACCATGTCTTCCCGTCCAGAGTCACGCCTCATTGTCATCGGCTGCGGCATCGCAGGCATAGCCCTTGCCGCCTCAAATCGCAACTCGGATACAAGAATCTCGTGATTTACGAGCGGGAGAAGTCGATCGGTGCCACATGGTATCTCAACACCTATCCTGGTGTCGGATATCGACTGCGATCAATCTTCCGTTTACTGTGTGCAAGGGCCGTCAAGAGCGCCAGGGCCAACAAAGGTGTGAATCCAACTTTGACTGGCGATGGATTAGCTTGTTCTAGCCAGTATGCGGAAATAAAAGTTTAATTCGGCCGCAGCCTCGTTTCGAAGTGCTCGCGCTTCGCTCGAGCCGAACTTATCCGAGATGGCTTAAGGTCGACTGGTCTAGCCCACCACAACTCCGAACGTTGTAGTAATGTCAATTTCAGCTTCGACATCCGAAACCAGCTTCAACGAGAGACGCAGGTCTTCTGGTGCGAGAGCTTTCGTATTGAACTGCACCAGCTGAACTCGGCTGAACTCAGCTCCCGTCTTTACGCCTCTCGGCAAATAGTGTGGCGGCAGGAGAGCCAATCAAAATTTTGTAAATGCCAGTGAAGACGACACAAGAGGGGGGCTGCCACCGTTTCTGCCAATGAAATCACGAAGGAGTTCGTGCAGTGTCTGAACCTGTAGAGCGTGATAAATGGCTTTCCTATCATCGGTGCTAGCGGAATTGTTTGGCAACCCAATTAAAGATTCGTCGGAGGACGCTGCGCGAAGTGCAGAGCGTCGAGCATCCGGGGCGAACCCTCTGTACACAAGCTGTGCCACTGCTCCCCCCATACCGTTTTGTCGTTCTATCTTGTTAACGATACTGAATTCTCTGGCTGGAAGCCGAACATACCAACTTCAATGGCGCCTGAAAGTCCGAAAGACCACAACATTGCGACACAGATGAGCATATCCTCCTTGAGCACGCGACCCACAAACAATATACTACTCGTGCAGCGAAATAATACAAACACGAGAGCCACGGCCGAAAAGGTCATCGAGATGCCCACAGCTTGAGTGCCCGACATCGCGCCGGGCAGCTTATAGAGTTGACAGCTATTATATTCAGTCGACGTCTCAAGGAGAAGCAGGAGCTCGGTCGGGATTGGAAGTGTTGGCGGATATCCGGATGTTGAGACTCTCCGTAGCAGAGTTATTTAGGTGGAACCCCTAGACTCCCCGAACTCCGTGCACACAAAGTCAATAAGCCACCAAGACAGCCAAGAGGCGGGAGGGCCTGTATGTATGTTTTCAAAGAATCGGGACAGTGAGTTCAGTCTTGACACACGAAAAGGCGCTCGGACAGCTGGCAGCACCCGTTCCACAAGTGGCGAGGAACATTTGGCAGGTTCCAACTTCCTTCCCCGGGCTGTGGCTAGGCTGCCTTGACCACACCGAGCACACATTGTTTGACGGAGTCTACCACAGTAAGCAATGGTGAGGCTCTGAGAGTTGATATGAGCGGTGTTGACAGAGGATTTCCAGATTTGACTCCCCACACGCAGACTGTTGTTTATCGGCAGCGGCTACGCATGTTCAGATCCTCATCCTTGGCGACCTTGAATTGCAACCTTGTTCCTGGAGAGCTTCGAGCAACAAGTGTAAGATGAGGAGATGTGTTACCGCAGTCGACGATTAGGAGGCGACGCCACAGTTATGTTCTCTGGATGCGTAAGCGCCAAGTTGTCTGGGGTGCAATGCGCTCGAGCGCGGCAAGGCTCATCAATATTAGATTAGGTATACAGTAGAGATGTAAGTGGCAGCGCAAAGTTACGAGTGACATGCCGATCACCCGTTCAGCTTACAGTCCTTCCCGAAACCGCGCTACCCTTTAGGACACATTGCGACTTTCTCGACTCAGGGCCAAGACGGGCAGTGGCGCACGCTTGCTACAACAGGCTAGACCAGCTGTGTGCGGCGACCTAATCACCGATAAGTCCAACGCCGCCTGCATACGTGCGCTACTTCGTGGTTAACGTACGTCAGACACCGGCCTAAATCTCATTCAGCGAAGGAACTTAAATTGAATGAGGTGTTGTGGTACAGTCCTTCCCGAAACCGCCCTACCCTTTGATGCATAGTGCAACTTTCTCAACTCAAATGCTGAAGACGCTAGTGGCGCACGCTTGCTTGAAGAGGTTAGACCAGGTACAAAAAGAGGGCCAGTAACCGACAAGTATCTCCATGCTATTGTGCCGGTATTGACGGTCTGTTGTTGTTAATGTCTGTAAGATACCTGCAATCAATCTGATTAAGCGAAGCAACCGCTAATTTTGGTCCCCATTACCGAACCGCTGTAACATCTCAATGAGAAGCAAAAATCGTCGACATTTACGGTAGCACTCGGTACCAGCGTGAATGATAAGACATCACAGTAGATGCTCTTGAATCACCGCCAGACTGTTCTACGGATTACATAACTCTGGTAGATGCAATCATCGTTTAGCTTCGGTTTTCGAATCTCCACCATTTCTTATTGTCGTTCCCAGTTGATGGCTCCGCATTCTGAGTACTGTTCGACCTTATAGATGTGTCAATCCGAGTCTGCAACTCTTTCAAATTAGTCGTGACGGTCACAGTCGAAGGATGGCTTGATCCCAGTGACTTTTGACAACCTTCCAGAGCGCGTCGGTACATCTTCCGCGCCTCGTCCAGCTTGCCGACGTTAGCGTATAGTACACCAAGATTGTTGACCGTGTCGAGTGTCGACATGTGATCCGGTCCCAGCGCCTTCTCGTACCCAGCCAGCGCTCGCTGGTACATCTTCTCTGCCTCGGCCAACTTGCCTTGGGCACGATATAGTGCACCGAGATTGTGGACCGTGCTGAGTGTCGACGTGTGATCCAGTCCCAGTGTCTTTTCTCTCCCGAGAAGCGCTCGGCTGAGCATTTTCTCTGCTTCGTTCAGCCTGCCTTGGGCCAAATACAATGACCCAAGATTATTGACGATGACGAGAGTCGATGTGTGGTGGAATTCGAGCGCCTTCTCCTTTCCGGCCAGTGCTCTTAAATACATCTGTTCCGCCCTGGTTAACTTGCCTTGATTAGCATACAAAATCCCCAGATTGTTGACGGTATCAAGGGTTGATGTATGGCAGGGCCCGAGGGCCACCTCCTTTCCGGTCAGCGCCCGTAAGTACATCTGTTCTGCCTGAGCCAGCTTCCCTTGGTCCTGATACAAGATTCCAAGGTTATTGACAGTGTCAAGCGTGGATGTGTTGTTAAATCCTAACGTTTTCTCGTACCCAGCCAGTGCCCGCATGTATTGATTTGACTATGATACAACAGCCCAAGGTTATTGAGAGTTTGGAGGGTTGATGTGTGTTCAGGCCTAGCGCCTTCTTGTAGCCAGTCAGCGCCCGCATATACATCTGCTTCGCCTCGGTCAGCTTGCTGAGGTCACTATACAGCAACCCGAGGTTATTGACGATCTTCAGGGTTGACGGGTGGTCTGGTCCTAGTGCTCCCTCGTTCCCAGCCAGCGCCCGTTGGAACATCTGCTCTGCCTCGGCTAACTTGCCTTGGTCCCGATACAGGACCCCGAGGTTGTTGACCGTGTCGAGAGTCGAAGTGTGATCCAGTCCAAGCTCCTTCTCCTTTCCAGCCAACGCCCGCTCATGCATGAGCCCTGCATCACCCACTTACCTCGGTCTCGATAGAGCCGCCCGAGACGATCGATGGTCTCGAGAGTTGGCTTGTGGCCAGCTCCAAGCACCTTCTCCTTCCCGACCAGCGCTCGTAAATACGTCTGCTCCGCTTCCGCTAATTTGCCTTGGTCACGGTACAGGTCGCCAAGGTTGTTGACAGTGTGAAGGGTCGACGTGTGAGAGGATCCGAGCAATTTCTCGTATCCAGCCAGCGTCGTGATATACACCTGCTCAGCGGCTGTAAGCTGGACTTGTTTCGCCAGTAGCAGAGCAGTTTGCGAAGCCTTGTCGAGTCGATCAGGTATGATACTCTTCAAGAGATCTCGGTAAATGCGACAATGTACAAGCCATACCGCATGTGCAGCTAGCCGAGCAAAATAAACGTGGTCTAAGAAATGTACATCATCCTCTTTTGCCGACGCAGCAATGCAGTCAAAAGCATACCAATAGTGACGTTCATCGATGACTTTGTTTAGTGCCGCCAACGTCCAGTCGTGCACGCAATTGTGCATACTCCATGATTCCGCCGACGTCTGCACTTCCAGGAAGCAGTAGTTCGTGAGCTTTCTTATCGCACTTTCGAACTCGACATCGCTGGAAATCACGCCACGCAACCACTGCGGTGAATCGTCAGAAAACCCAGCCCGGAACAGCTCGTGCCAGAGGCATTGGTGGCTAAAATATGCCAGCAAGCCTAACAACCTCGCCGCGTTCGCATCTTCACTTTCGAGACGAGTATACGAAAGATCCCACGTGGTGTAGAGCGTGCGTTCTTGATACTCGTGGAGGGGGAGTGGCCGCCGTGGGTCAACATTCCAGCACTGCTCATACTCCTCGAGGTATCGTTCAAAAGTGAAGATGCTTTGGCGAAGAAGTGCTCCGGCGGTGGCCAAGGCTAGAGGGAGGCCAGCGAGTCGCTCGGCCAGCCGCTGTGCATAAATATCTTGGGACTGGCAGTCAGTCAGGTGTCTTAGACATCATCGACAGACCTACCAGACTTGACATTCTGTCGCCGTGATCGAGTTTCTAAAATCCCGAGGCTTTCTTCGACGCTTCGGAGAGGCTGCAGCTGTATCTCCGATCCTGCCACCAGATCCGGCCGCCGTGTCGTCACGATGATCGCCCCGTGAGAGACGTACGGATAATATCGTTCGATAGGGTATTGATCGGGGTCATCGTAGTTGTCGAAGATGAGCAGCTATCGCGTGTTCTTCTGGTCGGATAGCCATCGACGTGTCTGGATCACGCTCTGCTCATCATGCAGCACTTGCGCTTCCTGGACATCAAAGATGGCCTCGGCCACGAGCCGGAAACTGTCCTTGAGCGTGGCCTCGGACGCCGCATTGAGCCAGAAGACCGAGTCATATTCTGTGTGGTGGCGTTTCGCGAAAGCGATCGCCGGTTGCGTCTTGCCCATCCCACCCATCCCACCAAGTACCAGCCGTCGCTGTTCCGGAGACAGGTCACCTGGTCGCAGAGTCCCCCGTACCTGGGCTATATCAGACTCTCGTCCGATGAAGAGTGTCGGCTCAATGTGAGGCGCCTGACCGAGACAGAGTCCAATAGGCTTCCGGAAGCTCAAGTCGTATTTCCGCCTGTTGATAACTAAATAGATTATTAGCGTATCATAGCAGCCGAAGCACCTGGCGGGTGGGCGGAAAATAATGCCGTCCAGGTGCTTATATCTCGAGAAGGGTGGAAGAGTCTAGGCTGCTCCCTTGACGCTCTTGTTCAGATCCTCGTCTGATGGGCGCTTCCTCGCCATGCTGGGAATTTAAAGCGAATTCGGATTGATCGTGGTGGGCTCCGGTGCGTTGAACAGTAAACATAGATCCTGCACCGCTGAATGAAGCGCACCCCAGGTGACATATGGAAACATTGATGAGCTGCTGAGCATATCGGCAAGATCATCCTCATCCGGGCTCCAATAAATTTGGAAACTTTGGGTATGTAGATGTAACCGCGATACTGAGACAGACAAGATGAATGTTGTTCTCCCAAGAAATTTGCGCCGATGTGAAATCCCCCGACCTTTGAACCGGAGTAAGTTGCTTGAGCCCTGGAGGGATGATTTGCAGCTGCTGTTGCTCTCGAGTGGATACACACGCCCCGGGCACGATCGAGGTGTATGCAGACGAAAACGTTCCCAGCTGACCTTGTCACGGCCTCGCATCCAGCTCTCGTGAACCCTTCGCATTATCTGTTTCAATGGGGTTTTAACACCGGTACGCCCATGATTGCCGGCAGTGACATACAAGCAACCAATAATAACTAAAACTTGTTCAAAAGAGAAGCGGTGTGGAATCTTTGGATAGTCAGCGGCATGCTGACGAACATCTTCTTCCCTTTGGTGCCATTACATGAACGGACAGAGGCGATCCGGCTTGTCTCGATTTCAGCGGTGGTGCAACCTCTGTATGAGCTATTGTGCCTGCTTTTATTGCGGCACGACCTGTGTCTTCCTCTCTTGACAGCTGCGACTGTGGAGGGCGACTGTCGGTTAGACAATGGCGACGGAACTTCCATCCCCGAAGCCTTGGTCACAGTTTGTATAAGACTTTGTGGGAAGGCGTCATGTCGACTGCAGGAGGCGAGATGGTCTGGAGGAAGCTATGAAGAGCTCTAAAATCTTTATGAAAGAAACAAATATACCATAGCGAGCAGAGTAGAATGCTGACACTCAGCCCTTTGCAAATTCTCACGGTCCGCGCACTGACCCACGTCGTTCTCCTTTCTCGACCGGTGCTGATGCTAAGTTGACGGTGCAAACGAACGAGTGTCATCGTCCCACGTACTGGGCGTGACCGATTGCCGTGTGATTCAAGAGGCGCGACCCCCTGTAACAACGGGAGGCAGGACAACTTCTGGCTCTATGAGACCACACTCTTGAGTGAGCCCATTGGATGAGCGTACAAATATGGGTTTCCATGGCTCATGCCCCAATTCGAGAAGCTCAACCAACTTAGGGTCCGATATCAGTTTTTCCACAGTGAAACGAATCCACTGACTCATCCCATATGACTTGAAAAGAAAATGCCCGGATCCGTCCCCGTAGACAAACCAGGTCAGTAATTTTCCTTCAAGTGCTTCTCCATCCTTGTCGACATGATCATCCTTAGACCTGACCGTGACAGGTCCCTCATAGATGACAGGTTTTGCTTCCCACTTTTTCTGGCTCTCGTTGCAAGGTAGGCTGACCCAAGTGTAGACAATCAAACGCAACGAGTGCAAAGCTTGGCGGCCTTCTGGCCTCACTGTGACGCAACGAGCTATCCCCATGATAGCAAGTAGCTTGTCGGCTCTGTCTACTCCGAATATGATCCTATATTGAGCTGGGATAAGTGTCCGTCTCATCTCCGTCCAGATGCGCTGTTTCCAGTCGTCGTCGGTTATCCATGCAATGGGTTCTCCGTCCACAGAATCAAGCTTGAAATCGATGATTGAAGATGGCATATTGAACTTTTGGTTTTATAGTCCAGCCCTAATTTGTAACATAAAGGCGATTCGGACAATGTCACCACTACAGTTGAGGGAGGTTCACTTATATAGGCTAGGATACACTGTCCCTTCGCTCTTGCTAGAACCAATGTTTGACCCTTGATACCGACCTCACAGCGCGCTGTGAGACCCATGTGTCGGGTGATCGGGACGATCAGTATAGACTCCGTGCGGTAGAGTAGATCTATGTCCATACGTTGGCGGTGGAACTTACGTCGTCTGATCTGCCGTCTGATCTGGCGTTGCGGACACCCTTTGTGGATACTTGGCGTTCGGTGACAGCGCTTTCCATGAGTCAAGAAATTCATCTGGCCGAAATCTTAGTTGATACATCGCGCTTCGAAGATATGATCTCTTGTCAGAAGAGTACAATAAAAAATCTATGTGCTAGTCTCTATAGTCAAATCAAGATAATGTATCTGTCCAAACTACAATTGAGCTCCAGAGCTTGTTATTACTAGTATGAACAGCTTCCCAATCTCGAACCGACTCAATTTGATGATAACAGAACTCACACAGCCACAAAGGCAAAAAGACGGACTTTGGTTTTGTAAATTCCGTGGTATAAGTCGTACAATGCTGGTGTGCCTTGCATGGATGAGTGTTCAGGAGGCCAGGTCCGAGCGAGCTGGGAATCCGCCACGGGGCTTTGCAAAGGAAGCCAGCAAAGACAGCTCGCTCGTGCTGTCAAGCACATCAAATGGCCGATTTATTTGTGGTCGTGTTGGTGACCCGGCAAATCTGCAACCAATTGATCACCTGAGCCGTAGATCATGGTCGCTTCGCGGGACGTGGTAGGCTTCTTCCTTGCATGACAATGACCCAAGTAGATGAATGGGGCCATAACTTGACTGTTGGCCTGCACGGTGAAATACGTTGTCTCAAGTTCTGCAGCTCGGTTGAGGGCTTCTGGTAAAGTCACCTCCCGTGGTTCGTCGGCAACTTGGATCCCAACGAGGGCTGTAGGGCAGTTCTTCTTGGCTTCCACGATGTGATCCTTGAATTTCCCACTGCTTTCCAAAGATGTCTTCGAATCCATCCTGAAAATGATGATAAATGCATCGGCTTTCGAACAATACCATCGCAGCAGGTCTCCTGTGTCGTGACCTCCTCTTGCGGATACTTCGATCATCATCTCCTCTGTATTGCTATCTTCTTCCGTAACTTGAATAGTTCCGAAAATCTTATCGTAGGGAGTGGTGAGGCATCCGATTTCTAACAACTGAGAGAGTGTGAGCGATCAATCCAGGAAAGCGCAGCCATAATATCTTACCTTGCGACTTAACGCCCAGGAAGCGAGCTCATCTCCAATGATGACGACGTTTAAAACGTCTGGGTGCATTCTTAGTAATAGCAAGCAACAACTGACGAGGATAGTATAACGTTAAATTAACGGGGCACGCGAAGATGCGTGACTATATGTCTGGGACGGCTTATGAGGTGGATGGAAAGAAACTATCCGAAGGTGGTATTTCTGCGATTCTCTTGACGTTGGCTCTTACCCGTATCTTGATAATGGAGTGCTAGCGATAAAAGTAGCACTACAATTCAATACTATGGAATGCTACTTAGCAACTCGTGATCTTTTCTCAGGAGGTCGGTGCAATTTGGTGACGCTCTAGTCACTATGGGTAGGAATCGACTTCTTTCCACTGGGACACACTTAAAGCAACGGAGAAGAGATATTGATAATAATCGTGTGGAGGTGAACATTTGGTTTCTGAGTCCAGAAAACTTGAGGATATAGTGATTAAAAGTCAGGATATAGATAGGGAGCAGGAAGCTAAGTTGCGCATAGAAAGATAGTCCACTGTGTGAATACTATGCAGTCAGTGCCAGAATCAAGGACAGAACGTCACCCTACCATGACAGATTCAAGAGGGAAACGGCGTCTAATCCAGGTCTCTATTATCCATACCATAGTCCATTTCCATTCCTTGATGGCGTAGATGTCGTCGAGTCAGTCTCGTGTAACATTTCTTTGACCCCGGGTAGCGCTAAGCCTTGGGATTGTGAATGCCGATAAGGGTTGTGAGGAAATGGTACCACCCCAGCACGCAACACCAACTCATTGTCTAATATTTCTTTGACTCCGGGTAGCGCTAAGCCTTGGGATTGTGAATGCCGATAAGGGTTGTGAGAAAAGGGTACCACCCCAGCACGCGACGCCAACTCATTTTCTCCCATTTCCCAGTGCATTGCTTCGAGAGCTCTCCACGGTATATGAATATTTTCTGCCAATGTTGACCACATTTGTTCACGATGTCTAGTAGGTGATATGTCAGTCGATCGGTGTCCGACGTCTGATAACCGCTGAGGCGAATCTCGAGTGCGACATTCCTGAACGTACCTCTCATACAATCTCGCGAATTCATCCTTTTTGGCCTCATCCCAGGCAAAATTCCTCTCCAGATAATTTTGATAGTGCAATCGACAGCTGATCGGACTCCGACCGGGCAGTTGCTTACTGATATCCCCCCAAGTCTTTCCCTGGCTGCGGAGCTGGATTATCCTCTCGTTTTCGTCTCGTGACCACTTTGAATTGTTCTTCGCTCCCGGTCCTTGACTCCCTTGCCGAACATCCAATGCTATGCCTTCTTCTCGCGACATTTCCAACTGCTTCTTGCTAGGCGAGTGTTCATCAACCGATACTAACATCTTCACATCCATCTCAAGTGGCCTTTTCATAATGTGGCTGACGTGGCGGGTAGATAATGTATTGAGGAGAGGCGGCAGTTGACGAGAGGTGCTAGCCCGGCTCACCGCAAATTAGCGCTCCAAGGCAACGACTTCTCCTTTCATATTGTGGAAAGACCCTGTTATAAATACTGAGATCGTTCGGGAACAGTAGTCACCATGACCTCAACAGGTATTTGTGATATTAAGCCCAGCCGAACCGCGGCCCACGTCAGTCAAAAGATGGTCACACTAGCAGGGTAAAAAGCATATCATTTAGTCCTATCTAGTACTAGTATAGGCTTACAATCAGCTGGCCAACCGGGAAATGAGTATACGGGTGAGCAGAAGCTATGGTCGCGATGTCATGGTCGTGGGCTGAGGCTTGACGAACAGATACGTAGGTACAAGCAGACTTTCAACTTTCCACCCGGAGACGTGGGTTGACCGGAGACGTGACGCCGCTCCACCCTTGAACAGGTCTAAAGATTGCACGAGGAGAATGTAAAACCCAAAACTGACATGATATCAGATCTTTACCCACAATGTGAAAGAGTCCATGTTATAGCTCAACCCGCTACCAGTCAAACGAAGAGTGCACAGCTCACTTCTGCCACCTTAAGCGCAAAACCCGTGGTTTTGCGTCTATTTCGACGCTCTGTTCCGGGCCTAGGCCAATATTATACGTCCATCTTCCAACGAAACCTTTCTCAACCTCGTCTGAGTCGTACCTCTCCAATTGGGCGGAATGCTTTCTCGGATATAGTGAAGCACATAGTGAAGCACTTTTCCATCGTCGCCTTGTTGAGAACCAAGTTCGTAAAAACCGCAATAACAGAGTGTACTCGCTGGAGCGGTTGCATGTTCTGTGGTGGTCCCTGCGAGCCACGATTGTTGATATGGTGGCACCTTTGCAGATTGTATCATCACGCTCATGAAGCCGTCCTGGGTATATATGAGTCGACCGGTGCAATCTTTACCCATCGGATACACCATATCCGCCGAATTGGCTGTATAAAATACTGTATACGACAGTAAACTCCAGGTGCCGACCAGAGACAAAGTCGAAACCGTCGCGGTATTATCAGCCTCGGGGAGCCTAGTCTTCCCCCTGATGACAAAGTGCTTGATCGCGCCAGTGACAGTGTCGTCCTGTAGCATCCGCATTTCCTGCTCGGATAATGACACTTTTAAGCCTTCACATAGCCCAAAAACCATTGCAGGTTCTCCTTATCCTGCCAGCTCTCTGTTCCCGGGAAGACATTGCCGTGTTTCAATGTAAGTTCGACTTGAGTGACAGTATTTTCGCTACCAGTGGCGTTGAGGGCTTTCTCTTGCACGACTCATCCAGAGCAGTGCCCGATCTGAGACGTTTTGAACTGTCTTTCATGCTTAGTTCAATGCCTATGCAAGATATGGTGAGATACCATGAAGAAGGTCGATGCAAGAGCGCAAAATCGATGCTCATCTGAGAAAGGCAGGAAGTGTCGAGGAATTGTAGTTGTCCATGAAAGAAAAAAGACACATCAGATCTCAGATGAGCTGCTTTATTACGTGTAGCAGCATACAAAAAGCAACCATCTCAGCACCTCCATTTCGAATTTCCAATCGGCGATCGCAGGTCCAGATAAGGCCAGCCATCGGCGCTTGCCCTACGTTCTGAGGCCGTCCACGGCCGTGTATCCCTGGAGGCTCTGAGCGCCGACATGACATCGGGACAAAAATTGACCACTCTACAACACAGTCATCAGCAATCGTGAAACCTGTATTCTTGACCGCAAAAAGACCTCCCTGGTTCTGATGGTCGTGGGCACTCAATTGAAGTACACAGACTACTAGCACCATCAAGGAACTAGAAAATTGACAGCGTGGCGCGATTTCCATCTTGATACAAAATCTGTCCCAATGCCATTAGGTCGCTACTAGACGACACTAGAAGTAAGAAATCCTGGTGCTCCCTACGCCGAGGGCTACCAAACTCTGGCTCAGGCCAACGTCCTCAATATCCTCGAAGTGTTGCTTGTGCTGATTGCCACTGTCATCCTCAGGCCACTGACACTTCAAAGGCTTCCCGTTCACGTGTCCCACAACAGGTCCTGGTTCTCCATCATTGACCTGTACCAACTGCAAGCCCGCAAATTCTGGGAAGAGAATCACACACATGTACTGATGATCTGAAATGATACCGGCATACCCATTTTCCCTGAAGAAAAGGGCATGGTAGGAGTTTCCCGTAAAGCCTTGGAATACCTGAGCATAAGTCACGTCGCTGCCAGGTAGTGTTTTCGTTTGCCACGGGTCTGGTTTCGCCGAATTCTTCTCATCTGCAGACCAGGTCCGATAGCTCTGTTGATGCGAATCAAGTCGAGGGTTGAAAACTCTGGTCCTATCCGGCAATATCACACGACGTGCACCGCCCAGTTTTCCAATGGTCTGCGAGTAACAGGCACGGAAAAGGACAACCCGCATTCCAGGGTATGACTTATTCAGATTGACATTGGTGAAGAATCCGATTTCGTTCAGATTGCTGAAGCTCGAATTGTTGGACGTGAGGCGCCCAAATAAACTCCGGGTTTCCGCATAGAGAACCTTGTAATGAATAGTGTCTGGAGCAAAAATGCCGGTAGGTCTTGGAGTGCTGTTCAACTTCAGGATACTGAGACTTGCCATATTGAGATATGGCTGGCTTTCTGGGTTCTGGCTCTTTATAGGTTCGAGTTGGTGGCACACTCGAAGGCGAACACCGATGTGGAACTCATTTGAGGCTATTTCGAAGTGACCGCACTGGTAGGCGCCATCAAACAGTAGTGGATCGAGGCGGTAGCATTCAATGGATTTCTTGACTTCGGCACACTTTCCGTCTCCATATGGTGGTTCCATAAAATGAAGCGAGGGTGGATGACAACGCCCATAACAACTTCGCCATACAAGGCCCATTATTGCCACCCTCACAAGCCTTAGGTAATCCAAGTTGACCTCAGTGAAACAAACGAACATCTTACTTCCCTTATCACATGTTGTAGACGCAGTTCCAAGAACGCGCGAGTCGACCATTAGCCAGTGGCCACAATAGTGAAGTTGTATAACATCTGAGGCGCAGAGCTAGATGCATCGAAGCATCGCGCAACGAGATCACTCAATCCTGATACCGGCTCCTTGTGACCGGACGATTCCAAGGAACCTAGTGAAGGGGTTTCTGTAGAAGACATCTTGCTGAAGAGCCTTGGAAAGTCCAGCAAGCAGAGAAAAAACTTAAGACAGATTTCGAGGAGACCGAGCAATGGACAGAGTTCAGAGTTGCAGAGGAAGGGACGACTTTTCAATACAATGTGATCACAGTCGGGGATATTTATACGATCAGCCTGCGGCCGCGCAATCATTGTAACATCTACGGGACGGTAGGCGCCAGTCTGATAGATGCATTTTCGCCACCCGAGCCGCTTCCTTTTTCGACGAGCCTGATTGAGTATGCTATGTTCACGACTGTCTACGGCGTCATGCATGAGACTATACTAGGCTACTGCATTGCGACGTAAACGTATTGCCAGGGCGAGCAATGCAACAACCAGCAGATGGCATCTTAGAATGCAGGTATACCTGACTGTCTTCAGTCTGCAGCATAGGCACAATAATGCGCAATGCGGACAAGGATAATGAAGCGGTGTACGGTCAGAAAGCCCGCATCAATGGATCAAACACCTCGCTTGCCTTCCCTGCTTCAATTAGCGTCGCAAAACACGTTCACCAGGGGTCCACACAGCAGCGAACGCGTAGTTCACATCACTAGGGGGTTTGGGTGTCCCTATCGCTGTCTTCGCACAAGACATCTGGACACGCATCAGTTGATACGGCCAAAGGAAATATGGTTGCATCTTCATCGTTGTTCTATGTTGGGAAATACATCTAAGCATTGATCAGCGGCTCTGTAGACCCATGAGTATATGCTCAAAGGATGTATCCCGTATTGGGGGTAAGGATGACCCTTTTGACCCCGTCTTTGAAGTTCCTATAGCACATAAAGACTCGTTCAGGAGCTCGGAGAGTCTGTTTTAAATGTCCGCTAAAAATCCAAGAATGTGTTCGTGCAACAGTCCTGTCTCTCCAAACGCCTGGACATGTGCCGCTCTCTCCCAATTGACATTGATCATTTGACCATGCTGGCTGATAGTACCGCCACGCGCATCCCACCCACAGAGGTGGCCTTTAACCGTGGAACTTGGAGAGCGGAGGGTCAAGAGGATCGGTTCTCCAATGCATGCTAGGGCCAAAAGGGTCGTGTACTGTTCCAAATTGCCCTTGATTCGTATTTGAATCGCAAAGTATAACAACTTTTCCTTTAAAGCCCGAAACGCGCCATTAATGTGCTCCTTCTGAACGAGTGAATCTCGATCGAGCAGGTGGTAGAGCACGAGGACCGCCATCTCAAGAGAAATAATATGCCTTCCACTAGGGGTTTGACACGCTCGGCCAAGTTTTGACCTGATATCGGTAATCCAGTCGGTGTCGTGGATCTCGATGACTGGTTCTTTGCTAAGCCAGTGGAAAGAAAACGTCAGTGGACCCGGAGATGGCTTTCCAAAGAATGGGAGCTGGCGCGAAAGTCGTATGGATATATCGTCAAGTTTTGTCACTGGATCCTCCATCGAGAGAGATTTAAGTTCTTGGTCAAGTTTGAGTAAATCGGAGTACAGCTGGCGAGGAATCGTAACTTATATACCTTTCAATGAAGCTCTGCCGTCGGTGACCACCTGCAGGGAACAGAGGATGCCTGCAGTCGGAGAGCTTGACTCATGAGCTGGCAGTCCCAGCGTTGCAGAAGTCGATATTGGCGACGACCAAACCACGATCATGGTACATGAGGACAACAATGAGCTGTGTCCTAATGTTTCCTCTAGTCACACTAGTCCGGAAGGCTGGCGTATACAGGTCATGAAACGTGTCTTGACCTCCTTGTAATTCATACCCATATCAAAACCTAGGAAGGACCAGCGCTAGGTTCATTCCGTCCACGGCCGTAACCTCCCGGAGGGTCGTAATGAAATCCATCAGCGCCCCGAGTGTATGCAGAGGGGACCTCTTGATCGACAAATGGCATATATGATACAAGCTGATACGCCTGCTCGACATCTTGGCAGCGCCGGGAAAATTCTTCTTCACAGCTTTGTAGATCAGCCTTACGAAGTATTTCCAGAAGGAAGCCCTCGAGTAACGCCATGGAACTTAGGAAGTGTGTCCCCATCCCGCTCAATAGAGTCCGAATCTTTCCATTGTAAAGCTTCAAGAGATGACTGTAGTACATTTGTGCAATGGCCCAGGACTCCTGAATAATCTTGATTGCCCTTCCCATAAACCAAAGGGCGTAAAGCCTTCGGGCGTTCTCAAGGCCCCAGTATTCCACGTCTTGGTGAAGAGGTTTAAGTGGTTGGTATTCCGAATCCAGAGTAAAGCGAATGTGTATCTTATGGAGCCTGCGCTGCAGAGTCGGGAGGTAGACTTTCCGGACAAGGATTTCCCATGACCCGTCGTTTAGAGAAGTGATGCTAGGCATCAGAATGATATTTCCTATTGCCGCATTAAGGTCCAATGTACGGTGATCCTCAATAAACACTCGTATAAGGGTGTATGAAGCGTCAATGAGCTCTTCAGCCGCTCGCCTATATTGGTTAGACGGTATCACTGTGTGAAAGAACGTACATACTGAAACATAGTTGGAGGGGGCCACGAATGTTCATCACTGGAAGGCACCTCATCTCTAGGAATCCTTATATCCCGCTCGAAAACCTGGATCTCGATGTTCACGTGAAAAGCGATCCTCCCAATCGCTGTAGAAATTTCGTCCTCAGAGGCCACCGTGCCAATAAAACTCTCATCAACATTGGATGAGAGGTCGCTGAAAATAGAATGGGCTTTGAAAGATGACACATCGCTGTCGGACAGTTCCTGATCTTCCTGGCTAGGGCCAGGCCAGTCCACAGTGCATTCTGTCGGCCTCTTCGAATTGGAAATTGGTTGGATCCCAATGCCAGTAAGAGAGTCGCTTCTTAGTTGACACACGAAGCGCTCATGATAGGATGAAGGCAGAAGTAAGGGCGGTGAAATGTCGTCCTGCGACTGGGGAGTGGGCTGCATTGGCGCCATAGAACAACAAATAACAAATCAGACAAAGCAATTGGAAATCCGGAAACCGGTGCACCACCTAGAAACAGGGCTTTAAGGACGACAGCGGTGAGGTACTGCATGCTTATATCTCTCTGGGGGACTGAAATAGTAGGGAAGCGTGCCAATAGTAAGAAACCCTGATTCGTGCCTCATAGGGGTCACAACCGAAGCTAGAGATGTGATAGCAATTACCAGCATAGTCAATCACACTTAGTGGAGCAGGCTGTGTACGGAAGTGCTGTGAATCCAGTCCAAGTTACAGGGCGGGGTTGCGTAATTCGATTCCCACTCGGTCATCGTTATGGCTGAAGTCTCAAATAACAAATCTTTTGGATTACAGTTTCGGACTTCACCTCGAACCGGTGGCCAGAAGCGGTCTCTGTGGAATACCTGGATCTAGGGCTACATACCATCTCGGCCCGTTATTCGTGTGAGGATTAGCACCTTCACAAATATAGTTCTGTGCGTTTCAGATTGACCATGCCAATGGGAATAATTACGGTTCAAATGGACAAAGTGAATTTCTTCACCAAGTTCTCGAATGAAGCAATCTTATGAGCTATCGGCAGAGAGACGGACCACGATGAGTTGTTTTCCAAAAATACGTAAAATGCCATGGCGACTTCGTATTACTATCAAGTGCTCTCAAACTCCAATCATGCAGCCATTTGACGACTGATCTGGGGCGCTCAACCTTCACCTGCTTCAGGACAGTGAGAAGCTACCATAAACATGTACTTAGCCACTTAGGCGACATTAGTTAACCTCTTTCTCAGACAGCAATTGAATGAACTAAATAGTCATGTGAAGTCCAAAGGGAACATCGGCAATCTTTTGTCCGGGGCGTCTGCGACGTAGCAAACACGTTGTGCCGATAAAAGTAGTCGATAAAAGTAGTCGATAAAAGTAGTCGATAAAAGTAGTCGATAAAAGTAGTCGATAAAAGTAGTCGATATAAGTAGTCGTTGTTTTGACACGACGTATTGGCCAGTGAGGACATCCTTGTATGGGGCGCAAGTCGCTTTTGAAGTCAGCGACGGATTCGCAAAACACCGGTGGCCATGGATTGCGGCATGGAGCACTTCCATGCCGGTTCTGCTGCTGAAGGAGAACTTCTAACTCAGCACGGTGCAGCATCTGGCCAACAGCTGTTGGTTATATCGAAATGCTGTCACTGTGTTGTCGCTTTTGTCCTGATTCTTCTGGATCGAAAATACACTCACGACTAGGAGAGGTTCCCTCTGGATGTGTTGACTCGTCGCGTTGTCTTCCAATCGGCCAACGACGAAATAATTTGGGTAGTCCCGTCCAAGCAAGCAGTGTGGTGGCGAGCAGCTGATGTACCTTGTAGAATCGTTAAATGGAGTACCTTCAGACCTTTAACTTTCTCTCCGCTTACCACGTAGCACAGT